GACTGGCTTTCCCCGCAGCCGCCTGCAGGTGGCGCCAGAGAAGACCAGTGGTCGGAAGCCCAGGTGCAAGAGGTTGACCTTAACAGTGAACTGATGAGCCGGGTCTGGAACCATTAATCTCTGCCACCCTCATTCTCCCACACCCTTTGGGCCTCTATTACAGCACCTGCGACAGCGTGAGAATAACTTATCCATGTGTGCTCTCTTCACCAGCTCACTTGAGTCCTTAAAGAGCAGGGGCGTGCTTCAGTCCTGAGATACAGCTGGCCCAGAGCAGGCTCAGGAAAGGTCCTTGGCCAGGGAAGTGTCAACTGGAAAGCCCTGGTTGGTGACAGTTGGTGACAGTGGTGACCTCCCACCCCCTCGGCATCTCTCCAGAATCTGGCATTCCGGGGGCCTGACTGCAGCCCAGAGCTGAGGCCATCTCCCATCCCCTAACACAATGCCTTCCCTGGACCTCATCTCTCAAGGCCATTCATCTTGATTAGGTATTGGCAGCCCTGGCTGATTAAGTGCCCCGCCAGCCCCTCCTGTTTATTTCTCAGCGAGGATGTGTCAGAGTTTTTCATTCTTCTGGCTTTGACCTTGGCAGTGGTGTGATGGCCCTTAGCACACCTGCCTTGGTGCTGCAATTGTCTGGCTGTACCACCAGAGAGGCTGAGGAAGCTTCACCCAAACTCGCGGGCAGCCGCCAGAGGACTCTCTCCGGCTGGGGTCCACCAGCACCTCAGCTTCCAAGGAAATAATCACCCTCATGACCACCTCTTCCTGGAAGTCTTCCTGGAAGCCTCGATGATTAGCTCCATCTAGCACCCCCTTCTCTACCCTCAGGGCACTGTGGTTGCCAGTGTCTATTCTTTAGGTGACATGCCTCGCTCAGCCTCCGGTCACTGAGTCTTCTGTGTCCCCAACACCATATAACCGTCAGCTCCAGGGGCTGCTCACTCTGAAGGTATGGAGGGGCTCTTTCAGTACCCCCCACCCTGGCCACCTGGCAGCCAGCCACACTCTCGGGAAGCAGAGTCACCCACGTTCCTGCCGTGGGAACTCTGAGTCAGTGGCTGGGTGGGGACTGCGAGAAACAGAGAAACCAACATAGGCTGGTGGGCGCAGGAGTAGAAATGTAACCTGAATGGACCTTCCCGCATCACTATGGGGGATGAGAGACCCACCAGAATAGGTTTGACAAGCTGCTTAATTACTCTCCCTGTACAGTCAGCCCCCACCCCTGGCCCCAAGGTGTTGGAGGCTGCAGGGCTGAGGGCCTGGGCAGGGGTGGGGGACTCAGGGCAGGGCTCACCTTGAAGTCCAGAGGGCAGTGGACCAGCGCCGAGGCTGAGAGCAGTGCCCAGCCCATGGCGCCTCCTCTGCCTTCAACTGCTAGTCTCTTCTGCCAGCCTCAGGCTCTCACTGTGTCTGTCTGGGGCACCCACAGTGGGCGGTGGCTGTCCCTCCAGGATGGGAGCCACCTCTCCGGGCCCTGAGCTGCCTCTGTGGGCCTGCAGCTGGCGCCATCACTCACATGCCCTTGGGAGTGATTCCAGGAGCCCCTGCCGATGAGCACTGGCGAGGCGGGGAGACTGTGAAGGCTGCTCCCTCCCTGATGCTTCTGAAGCCGGCTTCTCCCACACCCCCACCAGCAGCCTTGTCCGCTCCCTCAACCCCAGCACTGCTAAGGGTAGGACGACTGAGCCCCGCGTGCAAGGTGCCACAGGGCACACAAGACACACAAGACGGGGATGAGGGCAGACCGTGCCCCGAAAGACTCCAAGGTTCAAATTGTGCTTCCATCACTTGCCACGTGGATGAGCCTGGGAGAATTTAATAAACTCCCGGAGCCTCAGTTTCCTCTCTTCTGAAAAAGAAACCTTAATACCCCATTCATGGGGTCGTCCTGAGCATTAAAAGAATGTGCTTCGCTTTTAGAACAATGCCCAACGCCCACAGTGATAGCTTTATGATTGCCACTCACTCAGTCACTCAGCAAACATTTATTTCGAGGCTTCTGTGTATCACGAAGACGAGCTGGATCTGAAGTGCTGACTCAGACGATAAGTAAAACGGGTCCCTGCGCTCTAGTCCTGCCACCTACTGGGGGAGATGACAGCGGTCGTGTTGACAAACTAAGCCCCCACAGGCACCAGGGCCAGACCCCGAGCTTCCCTCTTAAACCCACCATGACCCTAACAGGAGCAATGCTGATATGGCAGGAGCGTGGGCGTGTGGACGTGCGGTGCACCCTTGAGTCACACAGCACAGAGGGCTGCCTCTGGATGGATTAGCATCACAGTATGCCCCCCCCCCCCACCAACTTCTCTTTCTGCCCAAAATGTGTGGTTGAGAGCATGTGCTCAAGACCCTTCCAGAACTCTCGGGGTGTCCAGAGGGTCGAGGCACTGAAGGGGTCCGTGCCTTGCAATTCTAGCCTTTCCCCCACTGAGGAACAGCCCTGTCACCTTGGCAGGCAGGGGACCTGACTTGGTTGACACCGCCCTTTGGCATCCTGGCTTAGTTACTCACGGTGGGAGGGCCGTCCCGATTTGAAGAAGGGCAAATCACAAATGTCAACGGCAGAGACCCGAGTGCCGGGTTCTTGCCAGAAGCATTGCTTTCACACCAGCCGGCGCACAGTCGAGCCCGGAATGAAGGAGGCTGACAGTCCATTAGCAGCCGAGTGGTCTGCGGGGCTCGGAGGAACGGAGCTGTCTGTCATCCACTGCACTTCAAGGGCAAAATCAACTCCGTGTGAGTGTGTGTGCGCGCGCGGGTATGTTTGTGTGTGTGTGTGTGTGTGTGTGTGTGTGTGTGTATGGTCTCTAAAAAAAGGAATATTAATCACAGCTGTGCCTGTTAAAATAGGCACACAGATAACAGTCTGACACCACAGAGAGGAAATGGCGACATATTTCCTGTCCTCTGTTCTTCCAACTCTTGGAGGCAGGTTTGAGATAATCCCAGAAATACAGAACCACCATATCACAGGATTGGGAGACCCTGAAGGTCTTTTTGTCCACCCTCTCTGACATCCAATGCTTTGCTTCAGTGTTTCTGACAAGCCATCCTTCACTTGAATGCCTCTCGTCACAGGGAGCTCACTACCATTGCGATGTTTTGAATATCCCACTTGCCAATTCCTCCAATAGCTAGAAAGTTCTTCTTGACCTAAGAGCTTGAACTTGGGGCCATGTAACTTCTATCCATTGATCCTAGGTTTGCCCTTTGAAGTCACACACACACACACACACACACACACCTCTCGTCAATCTCCTTACCATGCCAACGTTGTTCTAAGTGTCTGGCCAGTGTGCCTACACCTTTCTGGACAAGATCCAGTCTGTTAATCATATCTTCAAAATGCAGTTCCCATACCGAGAGACATAAAATCTCTGTTGCAGCTGTCACCAGTGTGAAAACACACACGCATGTGCACACACACACACACGTGCACGTGCACACAGCAGTAAAGTTCCCCTGACTGCATTTGCTTCCGTTTCTCATTTCATACCATATTGCCGAATGCCTTGCTGAAATCCAAGGCTATTCTACCCATGGCATGTTTCTGACCCATCCCTATATCGACTTAACAAGAATAAAAATAAATAAGAAAGGGAAAGAGCTCAGAAATGGACCCAGCCCCCTATACATGATCCAACATCACAAGGAGGGACAGGGCCTGTGCCTTCCTTGTTCTGGACACTAACTGCCTGTTAATTTGCCTCAGATCACATTAGCCTTCACGAAAGCAAGAACTCATTACTGACTCAAGTTTGAGACCTTTGGGCCAGGTAGCAGGCTCAGATTTTTGTGTTTGTTTGTCCTGTGACACAGGACACAGGATTAGCAGAGGAATTGATAACATGTGATATATTTCATTGCCCTACAGCATCGAGTCCCCAGGTCGGGATTTTGTGCAAAGGCCCTACAGGGAGTGGAGAGGCAGGGAAATGCCTTGAATAGGGGAGGTGGGCAAAGTAGATCGTGGAGAATGGGTGCTTCCCCGAGACAAGGCCGATACGGGGACTGGGTGGTAGGAACCGGTGCCCTCCAGGCCCACTGTACTCTTCAGCAAGGATGACTGTCAGAGGCATTTGAATCCTTCTAGAACAATGTCCAAGAAACGAGGGTGGATTCCAGGACCGAACTCCCAGCATGGAGCCGAAGGGAAGCAACCTCACAGACAGTGAGCAAATAGAGCAAGGGCCCAGCCAACACCCCTGGTCTCTTGCCCGCCCCTTCCCAGAGCCCCAGGACCCAGACACATCTACTGCTGCCGTGCCATGGATCCGCCCCCTTCTGATGTCATACAAGTTGGTTTGGGGACCCAAGCAGATTGATTCATGTTAAATTTCTCCTCTGACCCACCAAAGCAGCCTTTTGGTTTATGAGGATCCTAACAGTCAGCTATTTTATAAGCTCTTCCCTGAGGTTTACAAAGCCTGTGATTTGGGCTAATTCCAGTCATTAACAACAGGGTTGGTTCTGGCTGGGTGGAAGGTGAGGGCGGAGGGCGGAGGGCGGAGGGCGGGCTCGCACGGGCGGGCTACTGAGGGCCTCCTTGCCGCTGGTCAGGACACCCTCATCAGCCAGCTCTCTCCCCGCAGTGCGTTCCGTCTCCCACAAATTCCTCTGACTAGATCTCTGCTCTGCTCCTAAGGACATATTGTCAAATGGCAGCTGAAACCCAAGGGTCCTCTATCAACTACGTGTTCTCCATCCATCAGCGCAGCGACCCCATCAAGAGAACAGAAAAACGAATGCAGGACAGGACGGAGGAAGTGAGGATAATCTGGCCTGGCTGGTTCTAAGTGGTCCCTCCCGTCTTTCCTAAAGACTCCTCAGATCTGGTCAAGCCCCCATCCAAATTCATGGGCGAAGATCAGGCCCCCCGCCCCGACCCCCCCCTCCCGCCCCTCGGCCGAATGGCCCCGTGTTCCTGCGCTGCTCTCCCGAGATTCACGCATCATTTCACAGCAGGACAGGAAGCAGGAGGAACGCAGAGACAACTGATAAGACATCGTTTTTATTAACAAGTCTAAAGAGAACCTTAACTGAATCAGGGCCGGTAATACAAATTATGGTGACCTGTGTATAAAACCTGGCACCAAATCTGGCCTTTTAGAAACATTTATATTAAAAAATATGCATTAAAATCTGTACCACGACGCAGGGCAGGGGCCAGAGGCCACCTCCCGACACGTGTGCTGGCGAAGGTGGGTCTGGGCTGGGGAAGCAGGGAGCCCCGGTCCTTGCCACAGGTGAGCCCCGTGTGAGAACAGCCTGAAGAGGTGCCACAAGAGCCTGTCTTTGGAGGCAGGACCCCTGTGAGCACCCAAATGCCACAAGCCTGGCGTCAAAACAAAAATGGTGGCTGGGAAGGATTGCAGCCCCCCTCTCGTCACTGCGCTCTGACCACCGTCCGAGGATTCCGGACCTTCTCTGCAGTCAGACCACCTTCAACTTTGGAGGAACGTTTGCGATTTCCAGTATGTTTTCTTCCCAAGGAGACTGACCAATCCAAACTCAAGGAACCAACTCATACTTAGCCTGATGTTGAGGGTTAAGAACCAGTTCTTGTCCTTTTCAGCAGGCCGGGCCCCTGAGACACCTATCAGAAAGGCTGGAATCACAACGGAAAAGCATGATGGCCTCGATGTATTTCAGTCATGGACCAAACGCAAGTGGGCAGCTCTAGCTCAGAAATTATACTTTGCAGGCAGTGAAGTGAAAAACAGCATTGGAATTCCCCATTCTGGGAGCAAAGGATCTTTGCACAAGGCCATTGCGGCCTTCGGGAGGAGTGGGGTCAGTGCTGCCCATCTGTCTTCAAAGAGGAAGACGTGGCTCCTTCTCTGGCAGGGCCTGTCATCTGGCTGAACCGGATCAGGACTGTGTCTATCGGCTTATTCGTTCAGGGATGGGCTGATGTTCCCGCGGCTCCGTGGAAAGTGACAACTGTCCTCAACTCAGCTGCTAAGCTGCTACCCAAACAGGCTCAGTGAACAGGAGACGCACAAATGGGATCCAGACAGAAATGGAGGGTGGGCACAGGGGAGCGTTAGGAAAGGCAATGGGTGGGGTAGAGGCAGCCTTGTGGGCTTTAAGGGGTCCGCAAGGAAGGCGCCTCTACAATTTCAGGGCTCCTGATAGTTACTGAAAGGGCTGGAGTCATTCCAGTAGATTCTATACAGGGAAAACAGCTGCCCTACCAAAGCAGAGTGATTTTCTCAGCTGCCTCCGGGTGGGGGTGGGGGGGAGGGTTTCGCCCTCGCCAGCCCTCGGCTGGACTGTCCTGCCACAGGACACATCTCAGCTGTGGCAACAGCAAACGGGGAGATGAAGGACAAACGGGTCTGACGCACAACCCAGGCCCAAGGCTGGGAGCCACGCTAGACCGTTAACGAGGGGGGCTCTCTCTTGAGCAGTGTCCCTTAGGATGCAAGTGCTCAGAGTAAGAGACGGACGCTCCCGTGGCCCAGGGGCCTGGCACCGACCGCCAGCGCATCCTGCGAGGCCAACACACCGGGAGGAAGCTTACTGTGAGTACGTGGAGCAAGCAGGGGCCCAGTTACAAGGGCTCCTCAGGACAGAAGGCCGACCTGGAGGCTCCTTCACAAAATCCTGGGTGACCTAACAGCACCCCCTAGTGGAAATTATAAATAAAACAAGAGCCATGCATCCAGTTCACCTTCTGATACAAGTGGTTCCCAGAGTCACCATAAAACGGAATAATACAAAAACAAACCTTATCTTTACAAACATAATAATAAAAAAGAGGTGGGAGTTCAGAAGCCATCCTTCGGCCCCTCACTGCCAAATCACCCTCCCTCCTCCGATTCTCTGCCTTCAACAAACACATTCTAAGATGAGGGGGCAAGGGCGGGGTGGGGGGAGCTCCTGGTCCCCTCAGAGTTTGGGCAGACTGCCCGCTGGGGCCAGGATGATGCCAAAGACGTAGAAGAGCCCCAGCAGGAGGTTGAGTTTGGCAGTCCGCTGGGGCAGTTTGTTGAAAGTCTGGCTTCGGAACTGTCGCTCCAGGGAGAAGGCCATGGGGATGGTGAGCAGGGGCAGGGCCAGGCTGATGCTGTAGTGTGTGGCCAGGATGCTGAAGATCAGGTAGGGCAGGAAGAGCAGCGTGTTGTAGAGCATGTAGGAGAAGGTGGGGCCGATGAGGATGGCGAGCGTGACGATGCCGGCCTCCCTGTCGGACTCCATGTCCCTGGTGTTGTTGGAGTGGAGGATGGCCTCGGTGCTGAGGGCAAGGGGGATGGCATAGACCAGCGGGAAGACGGCCAGCGACCCCACCTGGACGGCGTAGGCGAACATCACAGCCAGCGGGCCGAAAGTGATGAGGATGACGAGGTCTCCCAGAGCCACATACTTGAATCCGATTCCTACAGCCAGAAAACCCAGAGAGGAGGTGTGAGGTCAAGGGCTCGAAACTGAGGGGCTGTTCTTCGGTCCCAAGGCAGCCGCTCCCGGCCGGGAGCCGGGCCTTCACAGATGGAGAGTACGGGCAGGCAGTGAGCTCCCTGCCCTCCAGAGCAGGCCTGACTTGGTCTCCAGTGACACAGAGGGGCAGGAACACTCACCCAGTTAGGCTTCAGGGTCGTCCCCAAGCTCTCCTTCCTTCCGCCCCCCAGCAAAGTCCCGCAACAAACAGCAGAGGGCTCCCAGCACCCACAATTCAACCGGAGAGCCGGCGAAGGATCTAAAAGGTCTTGCGGACCTTCGCCAGCCCGTGCAAGACATTGCTTCCACCCACCAGTACCTCAGAATACCCATCCCAGTCTCTTACTTTCTGCCTCCTTCTTCCACGGCCTCTGGAGGCCTCTGGTTTTGAAAATCCCCAGCAAATCTTGGTGAAATCTGATGGTGCCCAACTCCACATAAAGAAACCTTTGCCCACAAAATGAGTAAAACAGCTAAGACGAGGCTACTGTGCTGCTTCCCCTCTCTGGTTCCCATGAAGTTCAAACTAACCCTCCCTCCCACCCCCTGCCCCAGATTCTTCCTGCTGGACTGACAACCCACTTCATATCCTGTCTAAACCACTCCATCCGAACCTGCCCAGTTCTCTCGAGCGATGCCACACTCCACCCGACCTCACTCCCGTCTCCGAATCTGGGTCAGGGTCATCCTACGCCTGGAACAAGATGACAGCCATGCTTATGACCCCCCCACCCCCCCCAATCTAATCTCCACAGATTAGATCTCATCTCCACAGCCAGAGGGGTCCTTCCGAAATACTGACCTGGGATGCCTGGGTGGCTCAGTTGGTTAAGCATCTGACCCTTGATTTCAGCTCAGGTCATAAACTCACGGTTCATGAGTTTTAAACTCTGAGCTATCAGAGCAAAGCCTGCTTAGGATTCTCTGTCTTCCTCTCTCTCTGCCCCTCCCCTGCTTGCTCTCTCCCAAAGTAAATAAACATCTAAAAAAATACAGGAATCTGACCATGCCGTTCTCCTAACACACAACTCAAAACCCTTGTCACAAGCTGTCCTCAGGACACCTCTGGCCCTGCCTCCCTCCCTCCCGCCTCACCTTACGCTCCCCTCCTCCTCCACTCACACTTCGGTCAGTTCCTCAAGGCCTCCAGGCACGTCACCCCCCTTCCTCACCCCCCACCCCGCCTTTGCCTGGCTGACTCCTACGCACCCTTCAAGATCCTAAAGACCGTGCCTGGAGGTAGCCTCTGCTCACCCACTAGGCCACAGCCAGTCCACTGCAACATGTTCCCGGGGCACCCAGACCTCCACCTTCAGAAAGTTCATCGTGGTTCTAATTACTCAATCTGCCTCCTTCCCTCAAACGGGAAGTTCCATGAGGGCACAGCTCGTTCACAGCTCGTCCCCAGCGAGGGGCACAAAGGCTGACCTGAACACAGAGCTACAGTAACAAGCACCTGGGGCTGGGGCTGAGGCAAAGGAACATGACCCACTCAGAGGGAGGCAGCATGGAGTGGGTGGAAGGTGGTCCACACACACACACACACACGGCCACAGAAGCTTGGGAAACCTCCTGATCTAACCAAGCTTCCAACTGATGGCCTCAGGATCAGGAGACAAATCAAAGTATTGGGTCATCAACTGCATTTTAACCAGCCTAAAATGATAATGGGCAATGGTCTGCAGATGATCTAAAGCCAGGGTAGCCAAAGAATGGGTTCAGCCCAAGACTGCCTTCACACTAGTAGCTGGGCTTCTTTGTGGTCGTCTCTCTTTTCCAGCTTTCTTGAAAGAAAACTGACCTAGAGCAAGTGTAAGGTGGACAACGTGTAGACTTGCTACGTTCATATATTGCAAGCTGATTGCCACCATAGTATTAGTTATCGCCTCCACTTAGTCGGGGTGCTTTGGTGCTAAATGACCACTCTTGGTTCTTTAGACTGAAGCATCCCCAGGGAAGCGTTGTCATGGCCGTGGCCCCCGGTACCTGCAACATGCAGCAAACGAATTCTGTGCTCCCCAAGCAGCGTTGCAGTAAGTCCACTGAGGACATGGCCTCTAGGAGGAACTTCTCACAAGCAGAGCACTGGCTCCAGTATTAAGTTAACAAATCAGTGTCTCCTGCAAAATGTCACCCTCTGCCGGAGGAAGATGCCGGGCAGGAAGGTTCCCAGCAGGGACCTGGCATGCTTCTCCACCAGCTGCCCACTTACATGCCCAGCTCTCCAAGCAGATGTCAGGGCTGTGGCTATGGAAGAAGACACAACAGCTCTACAGCCTTGAATCTGGCTAGATTACCCAAGAACATCTCCTTAGATCACGTGGCAAAACGTGATGTGAGCAAAGTGGAACAGAAACATGTGCCTGCAAGAATAGACCCCACCTGGGGCACCTGGGTGGCTTAGTCGGTTAAGCGTCCGACTTTCGCTTGGGTCATGATCTCGCAGTTCGTGGGTTCGAGCCCCGCATCAGGCTCTGTGCTGACTGCCAGCTCAGNGGGGGGGTTGGTGGTGGGTGTGGGGGGGGGGGGGGGGGGGGGGGGGGGGGGGGGGGGGGGGGTTGGGGGGGGGGGGGGGGGGGGTGTCATGAGTTCAAGCCCCGTGTAGGGCTCCCCAGTGGGCATAAAGCTTACTTAAAAAAAAGAAACACTTTGGCAGCTTCCCATAAGCATTCATCTACCTTATGACCCCAGCAATTCCATTCCTAGGCATTCACCCAAGAAAAATGGAAACAAATATTCACAGAAAGACTTAAACTCAAATCCTCAGGCACTTAAACATGAATGCTCAGGCATGACAGCCAAAATACGGACACAATCCATATGTCTCTGAACAGGAGAAAGGATAAACAAACTGTGGGATGTCCACACACTGGACACTACTCCACAATAAGAAGGAACTACTGATGCACATCAAACATGATGAATCTCAAAACCACCATGCTGGGGCGCCTGGGTGGCTCAGTTGGTTAAGTGTCTGACTTCAACCCCAGGTCATGATCTTGCTGTCACGAGTTCAAGTCCCACATCAGGCTCAGTGCTGACAGCTCCGAGCCTGGAGCCTGTTTCAGATTCTGTGTCTCCCTCTCTCTCTGCCCCTCCCCCACTCAGGTTCTGTCTCTCTCTAAAAAACAAATAAACATAAAAAAAATGAAAGCAAAACAAAACACCATGCTGAGCGAAGACACCAGGTATAAGGACTCATTCTGAACGATTCCACTTATATAATGTTCTAGATCCGGCAAAACAATCTATGTGAAAGAAATCAAATAGTGGTGGCCTCTGGATAGGGTTGAGAGGGTGGGAATTGACAGAGAGATAAGTTTTTGAGTGCTGGAAATGTTCTGTATCGTGCAGATTGGGGGCTATACAATGGCGTGCATCAAACTGTAACACTTAAGATCGGTGCATTTCACAGTAAGCCAAATATATCAATAAAGATCAATTAAAAAAAAAACCATAAATCATATCATTACATAATATGCTCAATACATTTCAGCATCTCCCCATGTGTTCACTCAATGAATATTAAGTACTGAATACATGCCTGGCAGTGTTATGGGCACTATGCATTCAGCAAAGAACAGAGACCCAAATCCTTAATCCCAGGGAGCTTACAGTCTTAAGGGGAAGATAATTAACAGTCAGTACTGTAAATGGTATGTTAGAAGTAGTATATACTGTGGGGCGCCTGGGTGGCTCATTTGGTTGAGCATCTGACTCTTGATTTCAGCTCAGGTCATGATTCCAGGGTCGTGGGACTGAGCTCTACTTCGGGCTCTGTGCTGAGCGTAGAGCCTAAGATTCTCTCTCTCTCTCTCTCTCTCTCTCTGCCCCCTCCTCTGCTCATACTCAATCTCTAAAATGAAAAAAAAAAATTAAATTTTTAAAAAGGAGTAGTATGTGCTGTGAAGGAAAGAAAATCAAGCAGAAAAAGAGCTATAGGAAAGGTACTTCGGGGGAAAACACAGGGTGTGCGTGTTTTATATAAAAATAAAGTTTTATTTTTACTTTAATTTTCATCTGCTGCAAAAAAAAAAAACAACAACACAACTTTATTGTAATTTTAAATAGGGTAGAAAGAATGGCCTCACAAAACAGCAAACGCATGGGCAAATGGGTGGCAGAGGTCAGAGAGTGACTCAGGCAAACAGAAGGAGGAAGGGTGTTCCAAGCCAAGGAAAAGCATCTGCAAAGGTACAGCATGTCCTGCCTGTACCAGAAAGAACCAAGAGAGCAGTGTGGCTAGAGCACAAAGAGCAGGGAGAACAGACAGTGCACCGTCCGGGGGGTCACTGTGGAGACCCCGGCCTTTCCTCTGAACGAGACGGGAGCCGTTCGAGAGTTCTGAGCAGAGGACTGATGTGGCGGCCTTATGTTTTAACAGGACTACTCCGGCTGCTGATTTGAGAGCTCCTGAAAGGGACATGGGTGGGTGCACAGAGATCATTAAAGAACCTGCTGCCATTTTCGAGGAGACGACAGTGGAGGCGGGAGGTGGTGGGACGTGGCCAGATCCCAAATGCATTTGGAAAGTAGAGTCCACGGGATTTGCTGATGGACTGGACGGGAGAAATAAGAGTCAAGGATCATGCCCATGACTTTCAGCCTGAAGAACGAGAAGGAGGAAGCTGCCATGGAATGAGGGGAGGAGAGCCGAGGAGGAGGGCAGGGTTCTTAGGGGAGATGAGGGCTTTGCTTTCAGACACTATGGGCTTATGATGCCTGGGTGATCTTGGGGAGAAGCTACTGAGGGAGAAGTTGGACGAGTCTGGAGTTGAGTGGAGAAATCTGGACTAGGGGCACACCTTTGAGAGTCACCTGGTTAACAGATGGCATATGAAGCCATGAGACTGGCTAAAAGCAGCCAGAGAGTGGGTGGAGTTAGAGGAAAGGGGTCCAAGGACTAAAGCTGGAGGCTGGGAGTGAGGAACACCTAGCAGGGGAGCCTGAGGCCCTGTGAGACCAGAATGATCCAGCCCTGAATGGCCTTCCCAAGGGTACCTCGCGCTCTCCCTCTCAATCACACTGGGCTTTCATAGATCCTAAAACATGCTGAGCTTGGGGGCCCCCGGGTGGCTCAGTCGGTTAAGTGTCTGACTTCGGCTCGGGTCATGATCTCACCGTTTGTGGGTTTGAGCCCCGTGTCGGGCTCTGTGCTGACAGCTAGCTCAGAGCCTGAAGCCTGTTTCAGATTCTGTGTCTCCTTCTGACTCTCCCCTGCTCACATTGTCTCTGTCTCTCTCAGAAATAAATAAAACATTAAAAAAAATTTTTTTTAATAAAAATAAAACATGCTGAGCTCTCCCTGACCCCGGGGCATTTGCATGTGCTACTCCTCCAGCCCTGAAGGACTCAAACCCGAATCAGGCCCAGCCCTGTAGCTTGCTCCTTATCCTTCAAGGGCCTCTTCACCGCTGCCCCATGCAGTTCTGCCACAGCGCCCTACCAATGTCCCTTACGGAGCTGTTCACAGCTGGCTGCTCCATCACACTCTCCCTCACCCCTTCCTTCTTTTCTCTCCCTCTTAACATCAGAGTGCCCCAGGTCCCAGTCCTGGTCTCCTTGGGTCTCTATCACCACTCTCTCCTCTGGTAATCTCATCCCAGTTGCACAACTTTATCTCTGTGCCAGAGACCCCCAAATACCTGGCATCTCCATCCCAGGCTTCTCCCTGGAACTCAGATGCTTATATCCAGCCGGCCATCTGACATCTCCGCTTGTAAACCTAATGCCTTAAGATGTCCAAAGCCCATCTCCCAACTTCCTCCCCCAAAACTCGTCTCCACCCTTCTCTATCTCACTTGCCCTCAACTCCATCATTTCAAGTGCTCAGGCCAAAACTTTGGAGTTAGGCTGAATTCCTCTCCCTCCTGCCTCGTTTCCTGTCCATCAGCAAACACTGTCTACCTTCAAAATATATTCAAATATATTCAGAATCTGCCTACTTCTTCCTTTCTCTATTACTGCCTCCCTGACCCAGGCCACCAAACCTCTCTGGCCTGGATTGTTGAACAGCCAGCCTCCTCATCTTCCTGTTTCCGTCTTGCCCACCCACCTTCATCCATTCTCAATACTGCACCCAGACTGGTTCTTTTTTTAAATTTTTATTTATTTATTTCTGAGAGAGAGAGAGAGTGCGCGCGCCAGCGTGAGCAGGGGAGGGTCAGAGAGAGAGGGAGATACAGAATCTGAAACAGGGTCCAGGCTCTGAGCTAGCTGTCAGCACAGAGACCAACGAGAGGCTCGAACCCACGAACCATGAGATCATGACCTGAGCCGAAGTCGGACGCTTACCCGACTGAGCCACCCAGGCGCCCCCAGACTGGTTCTTTAAAACATTAAGGTCTACATAACCTTTGTGCTTCTCTACCCTCCCCAAACATACTTTTCTCTTACCTTCTTTCACTCACTGTACTCATGTGGTTCCTTAAACTTTTTTAAGCACACTCCTGCCTTAATAGCTTGGAACAGCCATTCCAAGATCTGAAACATCCTTCCTCTAGACACCTGCTTAGCCAATTTCCTTCTATCTTTGCTCACATTGCCTTATTGATGAGGCCTACCCCGATCAAACTACTTCGAACAGTCAGCTACATCCTCCTTCCTTGCTCTACTTATTTCTTCCCTAAAGCACGGATCATATTTTTATACATGATGGCCAGGGAACCAACTCCTCAGGGCTTACCTGGAACTTTCCCGATTTCAACACTGAAAAGTAAAGCATCCTGGGAACCATCTCAAGTCCTGAGCAAACCAGGACGCTGGTCACCCTAAATATAATTTATTATTTGTACTTTCCGGGTCTCAAGATCTATAAAATAACTTCCACAAGAGCAGGGCTCTGTGACTGCTGGGTTCACGCAGCACATGCCTGGCACATAATAGGTGCTTAATAAGTAGGAACTGACCACCTGCCCATCACTGCCTTCATCAGCCTCTTGCAAGGAGTCACTCGGCAATCTAGCTGCCAGCAACTTGCTGTCTAACTTTGAGCTCTTCGAATTTAAAGTCCTCTAAAATTTGAAACTGTGGCATTCTAAGATAGGACCATGGAAAGGAAGCCAGAGAGAAAAATTTACATACGTGTGATTCCTAACCTCCATAAGCCAAGCCAGAATCTTCTCACATCACTCCTGTTTTCAAAAAGTCCACATGGCCTACGTGTTACAGATTTCGCATAAATGGCGTAACTCAGAACAGAACCTTTGGAACCTCGTCTCCAGCCCTGCGACTCCCACGCCAAGCGGCAGTTTCCCGAACATGCAGCCAGGAAACGGGCCAATTCTTACCTCCTGTGTAGAGAAAGGAGCCAGACAGGCCTCCAAAGTAGATGAGGGCCAAGTGCTCCAATTTCAGAGGGGACAGGTAGTAGAGACAAGCGGCACAGACACAGCCCAAAGTGTAGAGGAAGACTCCAAACCGGACAACATCCTGGGGCTCCAAGATTCGGTCCACCAGGGTCCTGTCATCACTCTTTTTGTGGTCAATGCCCTTGGAAAAGTCATAGTAAGTGTTGACCAAATTGCCAGCCCCGTGCACGGCAAGGACGGCCACGGCGCAACCCACCAGCAGCCTGGGGTCCAGGACGCCCTGGGATCTGTAAGCCAGGGCACTGCCCAAGGCCACCGGCGTGAGCGAGGCACTGAAGCTCCAGGGCCGCAGGGCCAGCACGTAGGAGGCGCACTTCTGCCTCCAGGAGCGTGGGGGAAGCCTGTCCTGCTCCGGACAGTCGTTCCCCGGCAGGTCCCTGTCCGCGACCTTGGCCGTCTCTCCCGCCTGTATGTTAATCTCCCCCGGAACTTGCGAGGCCGCCATGGAAGCTGCACGCGGCTGAAGTCAAAGTTAGTAGTGAGTGAGCCACCCACTAACAGCCACGGCTCGGCGGCGAAGAGGGGCGGGGCGGCCGGCCCTGACCTTCCTCGGGTTCCGCTCCGGGGCAGGGATGGGGAGGCGGCGGGCCCCGGGGGCAGCACTGAGCGGACGTGGCAGCCCACGAGGCCCGACGGCACCGCCCCGACCTCCTGGCACCCGGGCGAAGCCTGTCTCTGGACCTCAGTCCGCGGCTGGAGCCCAAGGCCGAGCTGCGGCCGCCCGCCTCAGGATACTGAGGCCGCCATCTTGTGCGCCCGCCTGCGGAGGCCCGCCGGGAAACAGGGACCGACCGCGCGGGCTGGGCCGGGCCGGGGGCGGGGCCTGGAGGGCCGGGCCGGGGCGGGCGGGGCCGGGGGCGGGGCCGGGGCGGGGCCGGGGCGGGGCCGGGGCGGGGGCGGGGCGGGGTCTGGGGGCCGGGGCGGGGCGGCCACGCCCCTCTCCCGCTGAGGGGCTGAGGCCCGCAGGTACCTACTCCCAGACTCCCTGGAAACAGCCTCACTTAGCATCACGAGAACGACCTCGACCGCGTGTCGCTTTACGACTTACCTAGAGCTTCCATTCACCAAAATAGGACTCATTCATTTTTTTCATTCAACATTTATTGAGCACCTACTATAGTAGGCAGCAGTGAACAAAATGGACAAAGATCGGGGAGGGCGTTGAGGGCGATGACAAAGGTAGAATTACCTGCCACTTTTCAGATGGGAAACGAAGCTCCGGAATGGGAAATGATGTCTAAGAAATTATTAGCTCTAGTAATAATCACAACAGCAATAATTCCCGCTTTTTATTGTGAACAAGTACCATTTGCCATGTATTGTCCTGCCTGCCTTTTTATCCATACTCTAGGTTACTCACTCATGCAAATAACCACCTTCCTCCCCACTCTATCTCATGGCCAGCTCTGGGTCTTCATGGCCCGCCTTCTGGAAGCTTATGGTCCATTGCTGTAGCTCATTGGGGCTGGAGGGAGTCAATTGTTCCATTTTTAGGAATCTTCTGAGCCGGTCATTAAGCACAGCCATTATTAAAAATTAAATTGTACAAACTTACAATTAGATAAATTATATTAAAAACAAAGCTAACAAAACTCATTACTTCCCAATTATTTCATTCCATTTTACCTTTTTCTGTCTGTTGTCTAATGCATCGTGGAAATATGATATAATGATGTGCTACTGCTCATCTCTCCCAGCTTGGGATGCTACACGATATCCAAAAAACATACTGTTAGGGGAGCCTGGGTGGCTTAGTCGGTTAAGCATCCGACTTTCACTCAGGTCATGATCTCGCGGTTCGTGGGTTCGAGCCCCGCGTCGGGCTCTGTGCTGACTGCCAGCTCAGAGCCTGGAGCCTGATTCAGAGTCTGTGACTCCCTCTCTCTCTGACCCTCCCCTGCTCACGCTCTCTCTCTCTCTCTCCTAGAAATAAATAAAAAAAAATTTAAAAAAATTCAAAAAACATACTGTTAGAATCAATTAGCCATATGGAATTTGTAATAAAAAGCATTGTGTATTTTATTATTACTTATAACTTATACGCTATATACATCCTTTATATTGGTGAAAGTTATAATATGCATGTAGCATATACGTACATGGGACAGACTCCATAATTTTGGTACCTAGTGCAAAATAAAAATGTGCAGCTCCTTGGTAAAAAATCATTAAAAATTTCAAGACAGAGCAATATAGCCTCACACAGCCCCAAAGCAAGCCCTGTACGTACATACCCGGCCCCCTCCCTTATCAGCTAGCTGGCTGTTAAACATTTACAACTCTACTACCTGGCACATACCTGTGATGCTGGCCAAACCCAAGTGTTTGGACAAGAGGAAGAAGCAGATATATCAAAATCCTGGCTCCGTCACTTATCAATTCTACAACCCAATCCCTCTCTCTCTCAGCTTATGTATGGGTGAAGTCTGAACAATACAATATGCCTCACAGAAATGTTCAGGAATAAGAGTGATAGCATTTATTGACTGCTCACATGTGTCATAGAGTGTTTTAGGTACTTTACATGTATTAGTACTTAACTCCACAACATTACTTCTGGAGGTAAGTACATTATAATCCTTTTGATTTTATGATAAGTAAGTAGTTATAAAGAGATTAAGTACCTGGTCATATAGCTAGTAAATGTTGGAGAGAAATTTCAGATTCAGTTAGACTCCATGTTTCTTTTAACCACTGCTTTATAATGTCTACCAAAATGCCTGAAACTTGGTAAGTGCTCAGTAAATTTTACTTATCATTTTAACATGATAAGAACACTCTTTGTGAACTGAAAAGAGACCTACAAATGTATTAATTACTGTAGTTATAAAACCATGTGATTGTTAATTAGGAAACAGGGCCTTATCACATTAGGGTGGTAAAAATCTCATATAATGCCAGTGGAAATGAAAATTAGTACCTCCCTTGTAGAGGTCAATATGATAATGTCTGTCAACTATACATGCATTTGCCCTCTGACCCTGTAATCCGATTTCTGGGTATTTATTTGGTATAGCTGGTGGGGGAAATATCACATATGTACAAAGGCATTCTTTGCTGCATCATTGGTAATACCAAGAATTTGGAAACAACACAAGTGTCCATCAACAGAGGACTGGAAAAATAAATTACGGTACCTACATGTGATGAAATACTATGTGCCTATAATAATAACAAAAGAACAAAGGAGCTTTCTATAAACTAAGAAGTATCTCCAAGATCTGCTAAAATTTTTAAAAGTGCAGAACAGTACAGAGAGTAACAGAAAGGGAGAATAAGAGTATGTATAAAAGAAGAATCTGCCAAAGTGTTTTGTTAGCCACAGAATATTGCCAAACCTCTCTAATTTGGCAGTTAAGAACTTCTGGAAACTTAAATATCTTCAATAGACACTTCTTTTTTTCCTTTCAAAATTTTATCTAAATTCTAGTTAGTTAATGTATAATGTAATAAGGTTTTCAGGAGTAGAATTTAGTGATTCATCACTTAACATATAACACCCAATGCTCATTATAAGTGCCCTTTTTAATACCCATCACCCATTTAGCCCATCCCCCACCCAACTCTTTCCATCAACTCTGTTTTCTATCCTAAAGGGTCTCTTATGGTCTGTTTCCCTCTCTCTCTCTCTCTCTCTCTCTCTCCTTCCTTCCATAACTTTGTCTGTTTTGTTACTGAAATTCCACAAATGAGTGAAGTCATATGGTATTTTAGACACTTCTTTTTATTATGCAAGTAATTGATGGTAATGGATAAAGAAAAAAGTATGCCCTCTCCACATTCCATTACATCTTAGTTGTATATCCCTATCCCCTATGAATAGACACATAAGAAGTATATACATGCTTTATAAGGGGTTATATTATACTTCTATTGTTGTATAGCTTGTATTTAAAAAAAAAAATTTGTTTTGAGAGAGAGAGAGCGAGAGCGAGCACCCACATAATCAGGGAAGGAGCAGAGAAAGAATTCCAAGCAGGTTCCGCACTTTCTGTGCAGAGCCCGATGCCAGGCTCCATCTCACCAACCAGACAGATCATGATCTGAGCCAAAGTCAAGACTCCAGGGCATAATCCACTGAGCCATCCAGGTGCCCCAGAGACTGTATTTTTTTTTAAACAAATTCCCTTCTTAGTAAATATTAATCTACGTTATTAGTATTAGTGGCTCCAAACATTTTCCTTAATATGAATGCACCGTTTTAATTAGACTCCTACTGTGAGAGGAATTTTTGTTGATTATGATAACTGTGATACAAAAATTTAGATGTAGTCAAATTCCATTTTTGCTCTTGATGTTTGAGAGGATGTTTTATTTTAATTAATTTTTAAAAATTTGTAAGTAAGCTCCACACCCAAAGTGAGACTTGAACTCAGGATCCTAGATCAAGAGCCATAGGCTCCACCCATTGAGCCACCCAGGAGCCCCTGGATGTTTTTAAGTGACGTTGCTTTAAAACTACTTATTTAGGAGTAGGTCATTCAGTTAAAACTTGGTTATGGGAATGATCTTCTAGGCTAGATCATTCTGGAAAACAGAGAAATTCTAACTAAAAGCGCTTTTATTTATTTTTTAGTGTTTTATTTATTTCTGAGAGAGAGAGAGAGAGAGAGAGAGAGACAGCGTGAACAGGGGAGGGTCAGAGAGAGAGGGAGACACAGAATCTGAAACAAGCTCCAGGCTCTGAGCTGTCAGCACAGAGCCCGACGCGGGGCTCGAACCCACGAACCGTGAGACCATGACCTGAGCCGGAGCCGGACGCTTAACCGACTGAGCCACCCAGGAGCCCCTAAAAGCGCTTTTAAACGCACACTGCATTTCAAAGAAGAGAAATCACGGGTGCATAAGCAGTGCTAGTCCCAAAGTTCCACAGCTTTGCTCTTTTGAAGACAGGGCACCACGTCGCTCACACTCTGACTACACCGGTACCCGCACACCAGGATCCGCACGGCCACAGGGCCGAGGCAGAGGGGACTAATAGTAGCGACGCACCGGATGTGCGCGTGGAAGTGGCTGAAATCAACTCACGGCTGATTGGTTCTCCCAAGTGGACGCAGGCCTCCTTCAAGCCTCCTTTCGTCTGCCACTGGCCGCCTGGTTTGTCTATTTGAACAGTCCCCGCCCCCTAGAGAAGCCGGGTCCCAAGCCTCACTTCTCCTTCATTTCTATTGGTCGGCGTTCTAGTCCATCTTGTCCTTACGCCTGGCGATTGGTCCTCAGGGCTGGGAGTCCGCCCTCCCTCCCGCCCGGCTTAGAGGACAGCGGGGAAGGCGGGTGGTGGGGCCGGGGCCTGAAGCGGCGGTACCCGCACAGGTGGCGGCAGTTGAGGCCTCGGCCGAAGCCGCGCGGTGAGTCTGGGGCCTGACACCGACCCCTCTAAGGTGGAGGGATCTCCAGACCCAGGGTCAGCCTGGTCCGTTGGGTGGGTGCCGGGAAGTCGCCCGTCTTGTCCGTGGGGTCCCTACGGACTTGGGCGCCGTCTGAGCCATTGACCCCCACCCGGCGAGGCAGCACCCACCTCCTTCCGGGCCCCCAGGAGACCCCCGGACCACTCAGCCTGCCGTGTGTCCCTGGTGCCGCGAAGGGCGGCCCATCAGCTCCGGTACCGCCGGGCGCCTTTGGGTCTCCATGCCCCGCAGTCACCCCATCTTTCGAGCCACCTACAGGTTGTCCTCAGAAAGGAGCAGCGCCGGTGTGTGCCCCTTGCACTGCACCCTGGGGACCTCTCAAGGACCCAGTCCCCAGAGCTGAGCTGG